GGTCCTTAACGGTCAGAAAATTGAAAAACGGTCTGGTTACTAAGGGGTTAATCAAATTCCACATCAATGTTACCGCAGCATATCGGTAATATGGAATTTTCATGCATTTGAATGAGTAGTAATGCAGATACCTGAATTTACTAATGTAGCCTACTTGATGGGGTTAAGCAGGCACATGCTCCTGCATAATTTCTGCTCCGAGAGCGGATAAGAATAATTTTAACATCACCATTACCAGCCTATTTGTAATTACTAAAAGTATTGTGTTAACCTTGTTTTAGTATGATTTATTACTACCTGTAACAAGTCACAGATTTTTCATATGCTATAACACTTCATTTATAGGGAAGCTTCACATACAACTATAGTTTTTCTGCACAATCGGCAATGTTCTACCTTGTACCATACATACCTGCTCGATTCTCAGATCATACATACCTACAAATAACACATGCTTACTGAAACGTTTTTCAGCCTTACAAGGCGTTGTACCTACTTTTTCCTGGATGCAACTATATTTTCACTCATTTAATCACTCCCAATCCAATGTAGTTTGTGAGTAACTTGCTATATTTGGATACAGTCAAGTATTTTTTTTTTGCATGTACATTTTCTAAGCCATCTCGTATTTAGTGAGCCTAATCGCCGTTAGGGCGGCATAGTCCACAACTGACTTACCTGGACCGGCTATCCCTGTCAGGGGGGGAACTGCCTCTCGAGAACCACCTGTTTCCTTTCCTGCCCTCCAGGGCCATGTGATTGCGACAGACGTTGCAATCACATTGCCGCAAAGCAGTCTATAAGGCTGTCTGCAGGGGGACTGTCTGAGTGCTCAGGCAGTCCCCCTGGTGTCTGAAATTAAAAATAAAGTTAAAATCACACATTCAAATAATATATTATACATATAGTATACATGTATAATATATTATAAGTTAATTAAAACACCTGATTAGCATCTTCTACATATGTAAAACATAATTCAATACTTACTGTATTTTGGTATTAATATATAGTAATGCCAAAATACACTTAAAATAAATTATATAGTATTATATATGTATAATATGCTATTCAGATGTTATCTTATAATATACGTAAAAGTAAAGAAAAAAATATTAATGTTATAAGCATATATTGATATATCATATTATATATATATATGTGTGTGTGTGTATAGTTTCAGATAGCTCTTGCACTCCTACTTGTATGAATAAAAAATACCTGGTGCTGTGGTGGCATTGATATAGAAATACCGGCACTCCAAGGATTTGAATCTATAAATCTTCTTTATTCCATAACCAAACATTTATGTGTCCTGATAAAAGCTCCACTGAGTAGCTGAAATGTTGACTGGGTTATGGAATAAAGAAGATTTATAGATTCAAATCCTTGGAGTTCCGGTGTATATATATTTATTTTCAACGTGTATATTTATTTACTATATTTGCATAAGGAATTAATATTCAAGGGGCCAGTCTGACAACCCAGGCAGAAAATCCAATTAATTTAATTTACAAGCTTTATATTTAACCCTGTAACTTTCCATAACACAATAAAACCTGTGGGTTACTGTTTTACTCGAGAGACTTCGCTGAACACAAATATGAGTGTTTTAGAGCAGTAAAATATATATCAGTGTAATAACGATGATATAATCAATGAAAGTGCAGTCTTTGTGTGAAAAATGCAAATAACTAATACGAATGCTAATTTTGGCCAGAAGACTGGACATAACCCATTTTAAATACTATTTCTCTAGAACAAAATGATATATAATATGTGTGAGTTTACTTGATATGAAAGAGTTTAATTATGGTTGGACAGCGCAAATTCCAGATTTTGTTAACGTTTTGTTTTGATCATAACTTGTACAACTGACTTGTCCTTCCTGGTCACCTCAGCAGGACTTAGCCACAAATTTTATGGACCTGTTTTTGGCATTAGTTGAACGCGCGGTTCCCGGACAACTTGGTTCACAGTTTTGAACCACTTTGAAATCCGCTGGGAGAGCACTTTTTGGAGGGAATGTGCCTGAGACTAAGGGGAGCAAAAGCTACCTAAAACCAGGTGGTGTACCCCATATTGCAGCCGCAGGAGCTCCCGAAAGTTGACCGGCAAAATCACCAAATGCCCTTGAAGTATTTTGGGCATTGTTGTGGCTGTGTCTTAAATATGCATATTAATCTTTTAATTAATTAATCATAATTAAGCTATAAGGAACAACATAATTTTTTTAGTTGGTGGTATTATGGACGAATTTGTAGATAGAAAATTCACAAAACGTAATATCAAATGTATAATTAACATAATTAGAATAATAAGTAACAGATGCTAGCAGAATGTCAATGTACTACAATGATTATACAATACTACAAGCATAGATGTAACAATCGATTAAACATGAACAAACTTATATAGGGTATAACACATGCTAGATGTTACAATGGAGTCATATTCTTTACAAGGCCCCTTTACAAGTCAGAGCTGGTACTACATCTTAGGTTCAGTCAGGAAAAGGAAAGAGACTGAATCCTTCTTACATCTGGTTTTTATTCAGTGTATTCCTAAGTAGGCTGTCCTATATGCCTCTAAAGCATTGGAGAACTTGGGGCGCTCAGATCAGGGCTATTTAGGGATGTATTATTTGTGGGGTTATTTTATGTTTTTGTTATGTTTTAGGGTACTTTAATGTTTTTATATTTTTGTATTTGGCTCTCTGTTCCTGGGAGATAATTAGCTTACCGGTCTTTACTGCAATTATCTCCTTGGCCCAGAGATTCCTGGGAGGGGCTTGTGTTACATACAATGGAGACCCCTTGCTGGGGTCTGTGCATAAAAGGCAGAGTTTGGCCCATTAAAATTAGTTGTACTCCAAGAACTATGTGTTGTCAAGTTACTGGGAGGGGAAAGGGCTAATCACTGCTAAGCACCTTGTTCCAGCTTTGTGGAGGATTCGGTGGGGAAATCCTTGTAAATTTCTTTAAAAAATTAAACTTCCAAAAATAAATAAGGAACAGTTAGTTTGAATAGACCAACTCTTTAAAGGGACTTTCCAGTGCCAGGAAAACATATCAGTGCCCCATCCCATGTTGCTGACTTCCGTGACTTACCTGAATCCAGCGCCGATGTCCGGTGCTGGGTCAGGCTCCTCCCCCGCCGGTTGGGGAGATCTAATGCGCATGTGCAGCAATGGCTGCGCATGTGCGCGCATTAGACCTCCCCATAGGAAATCATTATTCAGTGCTTTCCTATGGGGGTTCCGGCGACACTGGAAGTCCTCATGCATAACATGAGGACTTCCAGCATTGTTTAAAACACTTTTCGTGTTCTAAGAACACGGAAGTCCCTCTAGTGGCTGTTTGATAGGCAGCCACTAGAGGAGGACTTAACCCTGCAAGGTAATTATTGCTGTTTCTAAAAACTACAATAATTACACTTGCAGGGTTAAGGGTGGTGGGAATGGACAGAAGTGGTCTGGGTGCTTGGAGTGTCCCTTTAAGTGACCCCAAAGAAGTAAGTGATGCTTTGAAATCAATCACTCGTAACATGCTACTGAGTGGGGACACCCCTAAATCATTAAAGACCTCTAAGAATAATATACGCCAAATTGCAACCTATGATGCAGGATGGGAAAATATTAAAAGTTCCCTTAGACGCTTCTGGCCACTGCTAACCAACGACCAGCACCTTCAAGAAGTATTGGCTCCTAATGTCTCCATCACAGCCAGGAGAGGTAAAAACCTACGAGACCTCTTAGCTCCAAGTCATTTTAAAATTGAAACTCCATCCCCTACAACATGGCTCCAGACCCGCTTGATTGGTACCTATAAATGCGGGAGATGTAGCTCATGCAAATTTATGCAAAAAGATTCCAAAAGAGTCAAAGACAGTATGGAAAAAGAGGCTTTTACTGTAACCTCCTTCTTCAACTGTAATACATCAGGGATTGTATATTTACTTACGTGTGAATGCAACAAAAAATATGTAGGTAAAACATTCTGCCCCTTTAAGAAACGTATACAAGAACACATCAGATCCAGTAAATATTCAGTTGAAACCCCCATTTCTAGGCACCTTCGTGAATATCACAATAGCGACCCTAAAGGGTTACGCTTTTGTGGCTTAGAACTGGTTAAAAAGAATCCTAGACGAGGCGATTATGATAGATTCCTTAGGCAAAGAGAGTGTTTCTGGATCTATCGACTGAAGACTAACGGTCTGAATGAGGGGTTCTCTTTTTCTCCCTTCTTATAATTGTAATTATCATATGCATTATATACATTCCTGTCTGTTTTAATGTGTGTGCTTTAATTTTTTCATATAATGATTTGATATAGTCTTCAATACTATTTCCAATTCCCTACTGGCTTTATTCATATTCCAATAACCTTTATTTTTCCTTTTATTACTTTAATGACTTTTAGGCAGTCCTGATGTCTGTCTTAAGATGCATGACACTATTGAAAGCAGACATTGCCCCTTTTTTTTTAACAATTGTAATTATACTATATATCTTATATTTTCCATAGGATGCCTTATTTCTGAGATTGTACTTTTCAAGGACTTGCCCTTTAAAAATTTAAAAATTACAAACCCTTTACGATATGAGTGTATAAGCTTTTATTGTGATACTAAATTTTCACACTGCTTTCTAACCGGCAGATTTGCCGGGTTGAGCACTCCCCAGCTCCTCCCCCTCCCGTGACGTAGCCTCAGGCGTCCGGCCATGACGTCACGGGAGAGGCGGGCACTTGCCCTTTATAAACTCCTGGTAGCGAGGGGATCTCCTTATCACTTTTGAAAAAGGCGACACACAGCGCCGAAACGCGCGTCAAGTTATTTAGAATCTCAGCCTAGTCAGTTTACTCTTTACCTTCAGTTACTAAGTCCGATTTAGATTTAGGCGGATTTTCTTTCCTATTATCTTGAGTTGATAGCTCAGCACAGCGATCGAAAAGCTTAGTCTAGTCAGTTACTTTTTACTTTGTCGTCTGACTTCAGATCTAGGCGTATATTTCGAGTGAGCAGCTCAATATAGCTAGAAGTTATTTAGAATCTTAGCCTAGTCAGCTTACTCTTTACCTTCTTTTACTAAGTCTGATTTAGATCTAGGCGGATTTCCTTTCCTATTATCTTGAGTTGGCAGCTCAGTATAGCGATCGAAAAGCTTAGTCTAGTCATTTACTTTTCACTTTATCGTCTGACTTTAGATCTATATTCCGAGTGAGCAGCTCAATATAGCTAGATATATTCTTTATATCTGTTAGCTATACGTTCATTATTTTATTTATATTTATTTTTATTATTTTTTTGGTTTGGGCAGCATGGGGCTGGGTATTTGGGGATGATGTGCCTGTCAGCTGTGAGTTGTTTTTTTGTTTCGTTTTTTCTTTCTACCTAGGAAGCAGGGGCAGACTTTGGAGCCATATTCTGTGTATAATTAGCTTTTTTAAGTGCAACATTGTACACTTTTTCTCTGAAGTAACAATCTCAGGATACATAGAATTATGTTTAAAGACCTGATAACATCCTGTTACAAATTAGCAATATATTTTTAATACTGCTACTTGATCTGTATTTGCAAGCAGCCCACTATCTTTGAACTGTGGGGCTGACTACTAACCAGAGGAATTGAGGTATCTGGGTATCACCATATAAGAGGAATTTCTCTTTTTTTTTTCTCTTTACTTAGAGTATTCACTTTCGATTCCAGTCTATCTCACTGTTGTAGTCAGCATTTTTTCCGCCCGATTTATTTACCATTTATTTAACGGGTTTACAGCTTGTCACAAACTCCAGGGAATCACACCCTAGTTATTGGGTGTTATCCCCATAATAGTAGTTTGATCACATTTCGTGCAGATATTTTTGGCTCATCAAGGAGCTCCCTGAAGTGTGTTACATCACAGATACTTCAGTATGACATATTACTTTGAACACACAAGCTCCCATTTACCTGTTGGCTTATAATATTGCCATATAGTGATTCATATCTGCCTGGCTGCCTCCTTTCTGTACCATTACAATCTCACGGACTATGAGCCATCCCCCCATCCCGGACCCCATGTATTTTATCTAATCTTTATACCGTTTTTCAATAAAGTATTTCTTATTTTCTATTTTGTTTATTTTTGTTAACCAGGGGATGTTATATACTCTCTTAGTGGGCATACCCTTATTTGAGTGTAGTGTGAGAGATAGACGTTGGCTCTTCTCTCCATACACCCTTATCTTTGGGAATTTTTCTATTAAAGGTGAGATTTACTTTTCTCAAACTCTGTCCATTGTGTCCGCATTCATCTTGATCCGTCTTGTCCTCTTCAGCAAGCGCCAGGAGCTGATGTCACTGCTGTATGAGAGTACAGTTTGAGGTTTATGGAGAATTCCGTGAGAATGTTGGATCCTCCATAGACACAGCCAATTCCCTGCAGCCGTCACTGGTGCCGGCTATCGGGATTGACACTTAGACTTTGCCCTGAGTCTAAGAAAGTCTGGCAGAGGACAAGTACACTGACAAAGTAGCCCCTAATTTGACACACTATATTTCTTGACTGGGTTGGAATTTCAGTGAAAAACATATTTAGAAATTGGCTTCCTAATTCCCACGGAATTAGGGAGCCATCTACTAAAAGGCTGAAGGACCAAAATTGGCCTTTCAGCCAAATTTACTAATACTAAGTAAAATTACTAAAAAAGAACCCTCAAAAATTGGGGTTCCTCGATAGGACGACGACCAAAACCTCAGAGGGAAGAAGGCTCTACCTTTGTTGCTTCTAGGAAATGGGGTAAACCAAAATATAAAAACCAAGATAAATAGGGAAGAATTGTCTAAACAGTGCTCTCCAAGCAAAAAAAGAACGAGATCGAGATATAGGAGCCTCTAAATTCAACTCCAATACAAAATACCCTGGAGCAGTGAACAAAACAGAGGAAAAGGCAAATGTAGGTAAGAGGATAAATGGGGATAGAGAGGGTCCTATATGAGAAAACCCATGTCGGTGGAGCTTAGTCAAAATAAACCAAAACTACCAAAAAGTTATTGTGCACAAATAAAGAGGGCCCACACTAATTATAAAGTAATAAATGAAATTTGAGTAGAGGGAGTGGTGGGTGGGGCCTGCTGAACGTCAGAATCCACGGTGATGCAGGTAAAGGGGGGAGGATCAACAAGCCCCTCCCACAACTCCAGGCAAGCCTTTACATTTGTGGCATATTTATTGCATAGATGAAACATGCAAAGAAAATACCTCAAGATGACAATTTAACAAAGGCAGACCTCATTTCTAACACAGGTTGAGGTATATACAAAGCAAATGCTGATGACTTCCAGCGGCCCAAAGACTAAATTACGTGTTCTGGAATATCATGACTAGAGGCTGTGGAGGCTGCCCCTATCCGAAAGGAATGGCCAGAAAAAATTGCTAGCGTTCAGACCTAGTCTGTAATATCTGTATGTATTGCATAAATTTAGCTGTAGTTAAGACAGCTTTGTGTAGGGCTAGCAGCGGGATGTCAGACTGAGGTGATAATGATTAAAAATATGTATCCAGTACTTTTACTGGGCACCATTTGTGTGAAGTAGGATAATATGTGATATGCACTTCTTTGCCCAGCTGACTTGTTTTAGTAACGGGTAGTGACAAGAATTTAGTGATCTTGTTGTTTAACGAGATAGGACCATTTGAGGCAGACTTGTGCGTATTTGTTACCATGTATGGTGTGGCGAAACCAACCTCGCCACTGTGAACTGGAGAAGCCTGGTTGCTCGCCTGCTCCCTTTGGACTATGGCCCTGCAGGTTAAACCGTTTATTTCCCCTGCAGAAAGGCTTATTTGTGTGATCTGAGTGCCATTCATCTAATAATGTGCACTCAGATCCCAGCTATCTGGGGATATGTGAAATGTCTGTGTGTTATGTGTAAATGTGACTTTATGTATTTTAAAGTGTTTTGTGTCTTTTTGCAACCATGTGCTTAATGGAGTCTTGTGTCTATCCTGGGAGATAATTGAATTACTCTCCAGGATAGAAGACTCTGAAACTGGTTTGGGCCAGAAAGCCATGCTTCATTTAGTCACAAAGGACTTTCCCTTAACTTTTGAACCCCTGGTCTGATTCGTGCCATTTTTTAATAGGTTGTTCCCCTGAATGGATTGATTATGAAAATGTATGTTTTATGTTTGTGACATGTATATTTTAGAAGTTAGAAATATTGTGTAAAAACTGTATTCCTCTGCCGGTGATAATGAGATTACCCATTGTGTTCAGTAATCATATCACCTGCAGAGGGGAGGATTTTGTGTGGGAGTGTCTGGGTGTATTGAATGGATTGATTGGCTGTTTTGTAACGCCCTGTGGGCTGTACTATGTTTGTGGATTGGGAATAAAAGAGACTGTATGTGACAGTACAGAGAGTTCCTGTTTTAACCCTCAAAGTGAAGTGTCGTCTCATTATTGGGGAAGGATTTATTGTATGCTGTTCCAGTTTGACTGCTAGGAGAGTAAACCTATTCGTATGGTTCCTATTCAACTGTCTACAGCATTCACATGCTTGAGAGGATTCATATGCTTCTCCGGTTCGGTGATTGTGGTGTCTGCCAGAGTGCTTGGAGTCCTCAGGAAGCGCTAGGAGCATCCTTCAACGGAGGTACCCAGTCGGGGTGCCAGGCGATCCGTTACATATGGTAAACTCGCCAGCTCTAAGAAAACAGTAATATGCCAAGTAAATGGTTGTTTTGATTACCAGATTTGTAGTGTGTTCAAATGGGGCAGTATCCAGTATATCAGACATGTTCTTAAATAACTGATTATGTATCGGTAATCTTGTGGTTGTAGTAGTGGTACTGGTTTTCTGTATGCCTTTTGTGTATGTTTTTAATTGGGTAAGATGATAAAAAACTAGGGTTTTCTGGGTATAAGGTATACATGTGGTTTTGGATGCCAGTTAAATATAATTTAATGGTGTTGTGTGATAGTTTGCGTTTGAGATGACAAAAGGATGCAAAAAGTTATATTCTAACATAAATCTCTTATACAGTTGGAAGGCTCTATTGTAGGACAGTTTAGTGTTTTCAGATAGGCCCAAACTAGCCAATTATTTTAGTCCATTACAAGAGCCTGAAAACACGGTGCTGCAGTGGCTGTTGGGGAGGCCGTGGTTAACGTGTCTCTGAAGGCCTGGAATTCAAAGTGAGACAATTTGTCAGCTGCAGTATTATAGATGCCTGGTACATGACAACACACCAAATAAAACTGATTACAGTCAGCCAGCCAGGTCAGTCTTCTCGTGAATCTCATGATCGTCAGAGATGAGGAACGTCCCTTGTTTATTATTATTTTATTTATATAGCGCCAACAAATTCCGTAGCGCTGTACAATGGGTGGACTAACAGACACATAATTGAGATCAGACCACTGACGTACCCCTGGTTGAGGACCCTGCTCGATGAGCTTACATGCTAGAGGGAGTGGGGTATAGTGACACAAAGGGTTAAAGTAGGGGAATTAGTTTGTTACAGAAGGGTTTATTGAGTGCTTGGTAGGTCATTTTTGACAGGTGCAGGAACGGAGTCATGGGGTGGGGGATGAGAAACCTTCTGACAGTTTAATTGATACGCTTTAATGAAGAAGTGAGTTTTCAAAGATTTTTTTGAAGGAATGGAGGCTGGGTGAAAGTCTGATTGAGGAGGGAAGGGGGTTCCACAGAATAGGTGCAGCCCTGGAGAAGTCTTGAAGGCGAGCATCAGAGGTGGGGATCCGGGCAGAGGATAGGCGTAGGTCTTGGGCTGAGCGCAGGGGTCTCGACGGGACATACTTGTGTATGAGGGAGGATAGGTATGTTGGAGCAGCATTATGTAGGGATTTGTAAGCAAGCGCCAGAATTTTGAATTGGGCCCTATATCTAACTGGAAGCCAATGCAGGGACTGACAGAGCGTGGAGGCGTGGGAGGTGCGACCGGACAGGAAAATAAGCCTCGCAGCCGCATTCATTATAGATTGCAGCGGTGCAAGCTGGGAACATGTAAGACCGGTGAGAAGGGGATTGCAATAGTCAAGGCGAGAGAGAACACAGCATGAACCAGTACCTTAGCCGCGTCCGGCGTTAGATATGGGCGGATGCGCGCTATGTTCTTGAGTTGGAAGCGACAGGATTTGGCTATCGATTGAACATGGGGAGTAA